GTAGCCGTCGTGGCTTTAGTGCACCGGCAGCACTACTGCTACCAGTGTGCCCTGATACGACAGCCACTACTACAACTACTACTACTACTACTGCTACTACTACTACTACTACTACTACTGCCACCACTACCACTACCACTACCACTACCACTACCACTACCATTACCACTACCACTACCACTACCACTACCACTACCACCACTACCACTACTACTACTTCTACTGCTCTTGCTATTGCTACTGCTACTCCTGCTCCTACTGGTACTACTACTACTACTACTACTACTACTACTACCACAACAGCAACTATTTCTACTACGCCGACAACAACGACGACTACTCCTACTACTACTACTACTACTACTACTACTACTACTATTGCTACCACTACTACTGCTACTACTGCTATTACTATTAGTCCTACTACTACTACTACTACTACTACTACTACGACTACTACTACTGCTACTAGTACTAATGACTATTGCTGCTATTGTTTTTTTTACTCCTCCTTTTCTTTTTCCTCCGTATTCCGATTCCAACTGCTACCGCTACTGCTACTGCTACTACCGCAGCACCGCGTCACTTCTATTCGTAGATTGCACGGAAGGTTTTCCAATTGCACGTGCAGCCCACCGTAAACCTGCCTAAAGGCCCAATACCCTAAAAGGATGAGTCCGGGTGTAAGTGTCAGAAAGCTATTTTAGAAGAGGTTGCACTTCGGAGCTCGCTTGTTGAGCTTGTCCTTGCTGGTGGATGGTCCAATACTCCATCCAACACACGTCTCACCTCCAACCGGCTACGCACCAAAAGGCTTGCCCGGCATGTCCGAGAGTGAGCGCCGAAACACAAACTCCAAACCTCCCACGCTTGCTCTCGTGACAGTATTGCCCCGCAAGGCCTCGTTTTGCACAGCCCGAGTTGTGTGAGCGTGGACCCCAAATTCCAAGCCTACACCCAACAAGTCTTCAAAGCCTTGGCAGGCCCGGCGGCCTTCTGCGAGCACAGCGGAGCCCACCGGGACCTCCTCTCGGGAAGAAACCATCCGTACTTCAAATGCGGAGTATAGCACCGTAAGATCTATGCAAGAGGGTAATCAGGCCCAGGGGTTTATCCGTGTTTAGCCCCGAAGATGTAAGAGTTTAGTGTCTGGGCTTAGAGGTTTAAGACTTTGCAAATGGGTCTTCGGCGCTGAGAACTCTCAGAGTTGAGGGTGGGGCGGGTGTGGGGTTACCCCACCGTGGCCTGTTCTCTGGGGTTTCAGGAGTGTACGGCTCGCCTTAGGGCTCAGGGTTTACTCGCGCGATGGGTTGTCACTTGCCGGGATGACGATGAGTTTGGAGTGTCAGCTGGCTGACAGGCTTGAGAAGTTGATTTTTTTGGGGCAGGTACGTCTTCCACTTCAGACAGATAGGTTTCGCCGGCCCACACAGTGACTACTACATCATTCCTGTGCTGACCAGTCGTCATCAGAGCATATCAAAGCCACATAAAGGGATGACCGCCGTTTCTCGTCGTTCGATTGCTGCTACAGATTTTCCCTGTCCAGTGGGTCCGGTGCGGAGCTTCTGTAATGTGGGGTTTTCAGTGTCAAAGGATTGTTGCACTTGTAGCAGTTTGCCATCGGTCGTCATAGCGGTAGCAGTTTCCTCTTGTTGTGAAGCTTTGCAGGTTCTCGTCGTACGTCAATCGAATCGTGAACTCTTGAACGTAAACGGCGGGTCTTGGAGAAGCAACCGCAGCAAGGCCAGACGGAGCCAAGGGTGCCCCCGTATCATTCGAGGACTTCGCGTGAGCCCGAGGGTGGGGGGGGTTTCTTGGAACCTGGCTTCGGGGCACAGGGCTTTTTGGAAATGTCTGTTCAGGAAGCCGTTTTCCTTCATAGCGACTTGACTGACCTGACACTTCAGCAATAGTTGACCTCTGCTAGAATACGAACTCGTGTACGGGGTGAGATGACGATATGGGAGAGGTAGCTCTTATCATGTGGCCTCTGCGAGTTTTGCATGTCTGCCCATGTTGACCCGGCCGCCTGCCACGAACCTTTGGCATGCGGAGGTTTTGTTCAACTTAGGGCTTAACGATGGTCGGCTATGCGCGCATTTATCACGGTTTGGGAAGGGTTTGGGGTTTGGCATTTTGTTTGCGCAGTGTTTAGGGATTGTAAACGATTGACAGTCGCAGAGCCCAGACCCCAAGGAACTCAGGGATCCTTCTCTACATGCTGACTTCTCGGGGCTGGGTTGAAACCTCTGCTGTGCAGTACACGCCCTGCCCTGTTCAGTTGGAGCCCGACTTCTAAAGCCTAGGCCTGCAAACTTCAGCTCTGCCTAAAGCGAGGTAAAACAGCGCAGCGAGCCAGAGACGGCCCCCACACCCGCAGGCCACAGAAGGGGCTTTTTGACACTGAAGCTCGAAACTTCAGGTTCCCGGTGGACCCGCTAAGCCTTAAGCCTTGAGCCTGAATCCAACTGATATCCGTTGATGGTTAGCCGTATCGTTACCTAGTCTACGGTAAATGATAAGATGCACCATAAGCCTGTCCTTATTTCAGCCGAGCCCGTACTGTGAATCTCGAAGCCGAACAGTAAACAGCGAGGGTAGTGCAAGCAGTGGGCGGGCCAGGGATCCTTCGGGAGCTTAGGAGCCTAAGTTCCAGATTCCTATGTGATGTCTCCCCCTTGTGCCCCCGCCTTTCAGGATCCCATAACAAAACCAGAAGTCAGTTCTGAGAGAACAAGTATGTGGCGGAGCCAGTCTCGGAACTTTACAGACACATTCGACAGACACCGGTGCCGATTTCTGCTTGGGGCTTGGGTTTTGTGGGTTTACCAGCTAGACGCTTGCAGTTTTCGTTCCTTGTGTATCGTTTCGTGTGTAGATTTTGATGTGGGATGTACGGTGTAGGATCGGTCCGTCCGTTTGTTGTTTGATTTGTAGACTTTACCTGGTGGTCTTGTGAAGCGGGAATCCTCGTTATCGTTTGGAAGCGAAAGAACGGTTCAGGATTCGGAATCGGGTGAGGTCAACTCCCAACCGAAAACATGGGTTTAGGGTTCAGGCGTTCATGCTGAAAGGCACACTGTCGCCCAAACCTGACCTAGACGCATCTCAGCAGACCAACAAAGGTAGGCTGTGGTAAGCTCTTTTTCGACCGAGGATCCAGACCACAGTCTTTGGGGGCCCGGGCCTTGGTAGCCGACAGACTCAAGTTTCGAGCTGCTGCTGCTGCGAATGCATTTGGCCAACACATAGCCGCTACATAGCCCACGATGACCATCATCATCATGATTCCTTCTCGGCGCTGTTGAATGATACCGTCTTGGCTCGAGTGCAGGCACCGAGGTCCCACTGGGCACCACCAATCTGATTGAAGTGTGCTGACAGGGGCCCTTTACGAATATGAATTCTATTAAAGGGATTCCTCTTAGTTGTAGCTGTACCACTTGGTGACAGCTGCAGCCTTCATGAAGGTTGAGCTGCGGCTCGGAGGACTTTGAAGCTTCCAGAAACCACAAAATCTACCGGCTGCAGGGCCCTCGGCGGTGCCATGGAAGGCCGGGGACTACTGTCAGTTGGTGCCGTCAGCAAGGTGCCGCAGCAGCTTACCATTCCTTGTTTGGGCCGCCGCCCTACGCCGCCGCACCATCGAAGACGGGTCGGCGCTGCCTCTGCGTCTTCGGCTTGGGCCATTGGGACGCTGGTAGCCTGCAGGCATCGGGGAAGGCGCTCCGCTTGCTGCGAACCCCGGCTTCTGCAGATGGGTCACGGAATGTTACGGAGGCTTACAATATTTTGGGTGAAGAGTGTCGCTTGTAGCAAGCTGCTGTACAGTAAGGATCCCAAGTGCTGTATCCTTTTCCATTCTCTTTCACTAGTTACTAGTGACCAGCAGAGGGATGGTACTCTCGAGTTCATGGGGTACATTGATTTTCACAGTGTTTGAGGGCATTGCGCCGCCGTATCCGATAAGTGGAGCCTTCTTCGTCGAGCAGGCATGATGAGATGCGTTCTCAACAACGCTGCCAGTAGACAGAGAGCGGTTCTGCAGGTGACCCGAAAACTTTCCTTCATCCTAAAATGGCAGCATGTGCCAGAGCAAATGTCAAGTGCTGGTGTAGCTGAAAGTTGAACACACGGGACATTCTCGCGAGCCGGCACGTGCTTTTGCTTGCATAGATATGTGATTGTCATGCTTGTGTGCAACGCGGAGACAGTGAGGTGCAGCGACAGATGTAGATGCACCGCTTGATGGAAAAGCCAAGGCGGAAGGCGATACTGGCGATGAAGTCCAGGTAAGCACACCAAGTTCCGCATGCATTACGCCCATTGGGCCCTTCTGCCCGTACCGGTCCTCTGCATGTGCGTGGGACAGCGAGTTCCTTAGCTTGTGGGTTGCCGGATGGAAGGTCGATTTCGGAATTGAGGGCCCATGTTCCGTCGTATCTCCGAGGCACCCGACCTACCAACAGCCCCAGCCTAGGAGAAACTAACACAAACTGATCCCAGCTGCTTTTGACGAGCTTGCTCGTTCTTCGATAGACGCCTTTTGAAGAAGCCGTTCTTTGGTGTTGTGAAGAAACGACAACCACAACTTTGCTGGCTTAGCTTGCAGGGCCCCTTCGCTTCTGAGGGGTGGAATGCCTTCCCTTGTTTTTCTTACCTGGACCAGAAACAACGACTTTTTTTGCTTGAACACTGAAATTTGGACCAGGCCCTTTCTTCCCGTGTAAGCACGCATGTTTCCAACTTCAAGGGTCAAGACTTCAAGGGGCTTCTTTTTCAACACGACTTTGCCTCTAACAAGCTGTGATTTTGACAAGTGTTTCTTCTTCAGAACAGCCGAGGAGAAGCCAATCCTTGCCATAAGGGTCTTCCTGCAGTTAGAACGGCTGCCATACCGTGAACCTCATTTCATATGCCCGAAGGTAAGAGCATAAGTCGTCAACCCTGAAGTAGGCTACCTATAACCGCAAACCGTAGCTGATTTCCAGCCTCGAAACCATGGTTCCCCAAACCCTCGCAGCCTTGAGAGCTCTGTCTCAACGCTCTTCTGACAGAGCGAAAAGACTGAGGCTCAGCAAAGGTATGAGCGACCTGACCAACGAGTCTCCAGAATTTGCAGTGGAGATGAGCCGAATCAGGGCTCCTTAGTACACTGCCCTTGTATTTGTGTTTAAATTATGGGGGCCTAGACGGGCAAAGCGTGATGTCTGAAGCTTGTCCAGGAATGCAGCTCGATATGCAGATGGGCCGGGAGCCGGACTCTCAGCGCATGGGACAACTGGCCGACAAGCTGGAGCAGTCCTACCAGAAGTGGAATGGCCTGATGACCAGGCGGGGTTTGCTGCACCCCTCCATTGACCTGTCTGACGGGGCGCAGAGCTAAACATCAGACAACAAAACCTAGACTTCCCAGGGAGCCCTCGAATCGACTCAGACCGCCAAAGCCTTTCGGAGCCCAGACTTCGGCTGAGCAGCGACTTCCAAAGCCGCGAGTATTTCAAGCTCACCTTGAGCCACCTCGATGGTCGTAGCATCGAAGACCTCGGCAAGATGGTCCAGTGCCTGGGCTTTCTGGCTCAGTAGTGCATTCCGTGTTTCGGGTCCGGGGTTCGCTGCTTCGGTTGGAGATACAGGGTAGAGCGGCAGGGCTTCGTTTAAAGATTACATTTGAGGGCGAAGTGCGTGCGTCGTGGACATTCGGCGCACATGCGTTTTGCATCGACGTCCAGCGGCGTTTTCGTTCTAAGTGCAAGTTTCCATGCGAGGAAGACCTGCAAGCGTAATCAAGTGTTCGTCCTTAGATGTTGGCCACTGTTGCAGTTACGTGCAGCCTTAAACAACGAACAGAGTCTGAGCCCGAATCTGTCTTGCTTGAAAGCAGCAGCGCAGGTAAATTGCGAGTGTCTGAACATGTTGAATCTGTCGCCCTAGATCCAACACGTGTGCTTACGGGCAAAGCCTTAAACTCTGAACCCGAACTCTGGGCCCCACGGCCTCAAACCTAAATACGGTCAAGCACAGCAGGTACCAAGTCGACTGTATGAGGGCAGTTGCTACTGGCGGCATGATTCCACCTGTGCCGGTGGGCGTGGATATGACGCCTCCGAAGGTAGGCAGGGGGTCACGGTGGCAGTGCATCGGCATACGTATGTCGCGCATTGCATTGGGGTTTAGAGCTTCGCCAGATTGCACCTACAGTCGCGGGGTTGAGGGTTTCAGGTTTGAGAAGCAACATTGTAACATCTGTGTAGGGTGGGTTTCACCATTTTGGTTAAACAGCCCCAACAGAGAAACCAGCGGAAAGTCTCAGGATAGTCGAGGCATTGTCCCCCGGTTCTGGCTGGTCTTTTGGCAGTGCCTGTACTTCTTCGTTCCAACCCTTTCAGGCCCAAGCACATCCTTTCCTCATCCGTCCTCGCCATGATACCTGCTTATCCGCGTTTCGTCACACGCACAGCGGCAGCGCTCAACATCCTGATGCACCTTCTCGTGGCTAGGTGCATCATGGGCTGAGATGGACCGCACTTCCTGCAGCATCGATGGGCTACCAGCCTCGTTAATTCTCTGTTCCACGGCCAAGTCGCACGGGTGTGGGTAAGTCCTGCAACATATGGCCGACCGCTTCGCTTCTTGGCCTTCCTCACCCTTCGTTATGGCGGCGGTGCCTATCATTCGATGGCTTCATCTTGAGCTTGATGGGTACCGCCAGCTTTGCGGCTGCGCTCCAGGACTCTGGTGCCATTTCTGGCCATCAACGACAAGGTCAAAGCCGTACTTTGTCATTCCCGAGCTCATGCCGCCTCTTTCGTTAGTCCACTCCATAAGTCAGGCAAGATCTTGCTTGACACATTAGCCAAGCTCAACAAAGCCAAGGCCAAGACTGCACTTATCCGCAAATTGGACAAAACCTAAAGCTGGTTCAAGTCAAACTCAAGCGGGCCTGGGTCCCCAACGGGCCGTACACAGCTACTGTATTCTGGCGTTTATACCGCGCGGTTGTGCAATACCCTTGCCGTCAGGACGACAGATACTGCCTCACTGATCCCGGTTCCCGCGCTGGCATTGATTGGCTTCGTGGTTTCCCGCCTGCCATGGCCAAACGCTCGACTGACCAGCCCTCTTCTACTACGCAGGCCACCGATTCTGCCACCATGAAAGAGGCCAAAGGCCTTATTCGATCCCATGCAGCGACCCCAAGAGTACCAAAGCCAGATAAAGCCAGTTGACTGCATGGCTGGCATTATGCCGTAGTTCCTTGCGTTTGCAACCGGCGGAACAGAACCTCGCCGCTCCGCCCTAGACACGTAGCTGGTAAGCCCCACTGTGGTAGGCTCTTGAAAGAAGCAATCATGATGCAGTAAACTTAGAGCGTGTGGCCCAGCTGGTCGGAGTCTGACGTCCAGCTCAACAGTTTTCTGTGCGTGCCTCATCTACCTCTCGGGGCGGCGACTACCCGTCCTGGCAAGAAGTACTTGCTCGCTCAGCTAGTCGTTGCAAGCGCCCACACTCCGGGGCTGTCATCTGCAGGGAGGCGGTCCTCCCTCACCCTGCCCCTGTGCAAACGTCCACGGCCCGAGGGTTTACGTGGCCTGCAACATGTGCCTTCACCTTCGTGGCCAATGCCGGTGGAACATGGCCGCACACCCAACTTATGGCAGTGCCGCTTCTCCTGCACTTGCCACGTGCCGCGACTGCTGGACGTCTCATATACATACATACATACATACATACATACATACATACATACATACATACATACATACATACATACATATATATGCCCCATAGTCTAGCTGCGTGCCCTCGGTGCCGCCACGTGCCTCTCCTCCCTGAGGCCCTACTCATATGCTCTTGTCCCAGAGCTGCGCCGCTGCGCCTGCGTCGGGTGCGCAAATGGCTCCATGGTCACATCAATGCCCACAAGGCAAGTAGCAGACGCAAGCCGTGCACTTGCAGTCATTGGCCAAGAATCCTGAGCCTAGTGTGTAGAAGGCCGAGCCTTCCATACGGAAGGCGACCTCTGAACCATTCCACGCTGAAAGAACCTGTGCTATGCGTTGCGGCAGGCCATGCCTTTCCTTGCTATTCCGCGCAGTGCAAGAGCCGTCCGCCACCCTACCGCTGCCTTTTAGCTTACCACCACTCCCAATAGTTTCCAGATGCTTGGCTGCATTTTTTTCCATGCAGTCTGTCTTGAACTTTTCGTGCGATGACGTTTCCGGAGGCCGCCCTAACCGCGCTGACTACCGTTCATCGGTCCCTGCCTACCGACCTACCTACCTGCAAACCGACCTGCCGACTTACCGACCTACCAACAGACCGACCTGCCTGCCTGCCTACCTACGCCCGACCTACCGACCTACCTACCTATCTACCTACCTACCTACCTACCGACCTACCTACCTATACCTACCTATACCTACCTCTACCTACCTATACCTACCTATACCTACCTATACCTACCTATACCTACCTACCTACCGACCGACCGACCTTACCTTACCTTACCTTACCTTACCTTACCTTACCTTACCTTACCTTACCTTACCTTACCTTACCTTACCTTACCTTACCTTACCTTACCTTACCTTCACCTTCACCCTTACCCTTACCCTTACCTTTACCTTTACCTTTACCTTTACCTTCACCGCTACCGTTGCCGTTACCGTTACCTTTACCTTGACCTTGACCTTGACCTTTACACCTTTACCTTTACACCTTTACCTTTACCCTTACCCTTACGCTTACCCTACCCTACCTTACCATACCTTATACCTTACCTTACCTTATACCTTACCTTATA